TTATTGGAGAATAGCGCTCAGATCCCATTCGCACAGTTCAATCGCCATGGAGTCAAAGTCTCTTTCAGTTCTTCGGTATGCGATTGACTCCATGGGACGGCTATCTGGGTTAAGTCCATTCGTGTGGTTGAATCTCCCGAACGGCTGTCGTTCGCATGCTTTTGTCGATTGAGAAGGGGAGGTCGACGGCTTCAGCGGTGTTCGGCTGAAAAAGTGTCCGTTTTCCGATCCATGAAATAATCGTTGAACACCGCTGGTCGTTCGCATGGACAAAATGGCCGCCGCCTCGTGGTCGACATACGAACGACGACCACCCGGCATTCAGTTTTTAATTGAGAAGTGTCTGTGGTTAACCGCAACGTTCTAATTGGGATCAATAGGTTAACCAGCAGCACACTTCTCTTCTGGGTGGCCGTCCGTTCGGTAGTTCCGTTCGACAAAACCGACATTCCCTTAAACAAAGCATACGAACGGGGAAATTCATGAAAACGGCAAAACAGACGAACAACGCAGTTATAATCCAGACAGATGGGTCTGTCACACCTGATATTCCTTGAGCAGATTCACATGGAAGGATTTGCAAACCCGGTCATCCTTGCTACTGGCTATTACGTAAGTGGTATCACATACTTGGGCTACCACCTTGAAAGGGCCCTGCCATGAGGTCTGGAGCTTGTTCCCTTTTACTGATCTGAGAACTAGCACTTTCTGTCCCACCTGGAAGGTTCTCTGGCGGGCACCCCTATCATACCACCTCTTCTGTCGACCCTAAGCCACCTGGAGATGGTCTCTAGCCATCCGAGCTAACTGCTCCATGCGGTCTCTCATCTCCAGAACGTATGGTACAATCGGGACACACTCATGTTCCATCTCTCCTTCCCAGTGCTCCCGGATGAGGTCGAGGGGGCCTCGCACCCGTCGTCCATAGAGCAGCTCGAAGGGAGAGAACCCAGTGGATTCCTGCGGCACCTCTCGGTAGGCAAACAAGAGGTGCGGCAGGAATCGCTCCCAGTCTCTGTATTCCGCTGTAAAGGTCCGCAGTAATTGTTTCAGGGTACCATTAAAGCGTTCACAGAGTCCGTTAGTCTGGGGGTGGTATGGTGAGCTGAATAGGGTCTTGATACCACAGACCTTCCATAACTGTTGGGTCAGATCTGCGGTAAATTGTGTCCCTCGATCAGACAAGATCTCTTGCGGAAACCCCACTCTGGTGAATATCCCGACCAAGGCACTGGCGACAGTGTCGGCCTGGATATTCATCAGCGCGACGGCTTCCGGGTAGCGGGTAGCGTAGTCCACTACGGTAAGAATATATTTCTTACCGGAGGGACTGGGATTCGGTAGGGGCCCCACCAGATTGACTGCCACCCTGCTAAATGGTTCCTCAATTACTGGCATGGGTAACAGTCTTGCTTTTGGGTGGTCCCCTCCTTTCCCTACTCGTTGACATACGTCACAAGTACTACAGTAGCGTCGCACATCCTTCGAGATTCCCGGCCAAAAGAAGGTCTGGGTAATCCTGTAGGTAGTGCGGTTACCTCCTAAATGTCCTGCCAAGGGAATATCATGTCCAATTCGCAGAAGTTCCAACCGGTATTTTCTGGGTATCACCAGTTGGCGCTTCTGCGATGGGATACCGCCTGTCGTTTTCCCTTCTGTCAATCTATACAGTCGGTCATTATCCCAGATAAAGCGTTCCTTCTCACTCCCCCCACTATCGGCAAGCTCTCTGTATTTTTGGAGGGTAGGATCTGCCCGTGTCTCCCTCCCAAATGCCTCGGGGGTATCCCAAGCTAAGGGTCTCTCTATGGGGTCTGGCCTAGGGGCTGGTTCGTGGCTTACCTGGGTCTCCTGTCCTGGTGCAGGGTCGTCGGCAGCATAAGCCTGGGAACGTGTGGTCACTGGGCAAGCAGCAGCAGTCGTAGGTAGATAAGCTGATGCAAGAGGGCCAATGTCATTGCCGAGTACGACTTCTGCGGGTAAATTGTCCATGATGCCCACAGTGGTCTTCCCAGACCCGACTCCCTGTGACGAGAGCAATCTCGCCACATTGCATTGGAGAAGCCTGGTTGCTCGTCTGTTGCCGTTGGATTATGGCCCCATGTTAAAAGGCTCGATTTTCCCCTGCAAAGACAAGAAAGCCGGGTCATTTGGTGCTTGTCCTGTTTGAGCAGTGATACCCCAGATAGCTATGCCATGGAGCCCATTCGTATAATGAAAGACTATGGGAAAGACTTTGGCTCCATGGCAATTGAACTGTATGTGTGTGCTCTGAGCGCCATTCAGTAATAATGTGCGCTCAGACCTAAGCTATCTGGGCATATGTTGCATGTCTGTATTTTATGTCATAAATGTAACCTTGTGCAGCCCCTGGATGAATGGGTGAAGGAATTGGAGCACCGGGTATGGCAGGAGATTTGGCTGAAAGATACCTGCCCTGGACAGCCGAGCATGACAAGCCAGAGGGAGAGGAGTTTGATGGTCCTGGCTTGTTATGGGAGGCTTTTACAGAGCCTGAATTTGGGAGCCCTACACAAGCCCGGTTCAGTGATCTCTTGGAGTGGAGGGAGAGCAGGTATGACTGGGACGACACTCACGACATTGAGCAAGACCTGGTCCACCTAGCAACCCTGGAGTGGGAACTGGAGCAGGACTACTGAGATCTCTTCCACTCCATTGAGAAGGCTCAGCAGGACAGCAAGGTGACAGATCCAGTTCCAGACCCATTCAGCTGGGAAGACATTGTTGAGTTTTACTGGGAAGAACCCCAGGTGGCGGGTGGAGATGGGACCGAGGTCTCTCCACCTATATTGCAGGGAATTGGGAGCCTGAGCTCCATTCCCCAGAGGGAGATATTGCTCCATTCCCAGCGGCAGGCTGAGTTACAGGGGGCAGAGACAGTTGGTCCTGTCCCCCAGCGGCAGTGTACCTTGCAAGGTACGGAGAGCAGAGTACTCCCTTGTCAGGGTACCTGTTGGTGCTGAATCCAGGGAAGACATCCTCTCTGTTTAGGGGCTCCCTGCCCCTAGCATTTCGGCATATTCCGTCCGTTTTCGCGCCGGCCGCGCTAGCTCCTCCCCCTTTTATGACGCGACGGCTAGCGTCGACGTCATGACGTCGGCATTTACATAAAGTGCCGGGAACCGCTATTCCGGACCTTTTGGGGGCGTGGTCTCTATTTAGGTAACAGGGTATTTAAAGGAAACCTTTACTACTGCTCATTGCCCTGTCGTGGTTCTAGCTTGCTAGTCACTCAGCGCGTTCTTTATCTTGTGTTTCTGGTTTTGACCCTTGCTTGTCTTTTGTCCTGTTGTCCTCTCCTCTCCTTTGACTCGGCTTGTATCTCGCTTACCTGTCCTCCGGCTCCCTCGACCTCGGCTTACCTTTTGACTATTCTTGCTTTGTCCCTACGTTAGTCCGGCCATTCTAAGGTCCGGTATACGTACCTCCTTCTGTCCGCACTCTGCGTATTGGATCCCTGTCAGTATCCTGACATCCCTCCCCAGCGGCAGGGTGAGCTACAAGGATGTTGGGCAGTCGGCTCAGATCCCCAGCAGCAGTGTGAATTGCAGGGAATTGGGAGCCCAGTCTCCATTCCCCAGCGGCAGGCTGAGTTACAGGGGACAGAGATAGTTGCTCCTGTCCACCAGCAGCAGAATGAATTGCAGGGAATTGGGAGCCCAGTCTCCATTCCCCAGCGGCAGAATGATTTATTGGGAATTGGGAGCCCAGTCTCCATTCCCCAGCGGCAGAATGATTTATTGGGAATTGGGAGCCCAGTCTCCATTCCCCAGCGGCAGAGTGTCCTACCGGGAATAGAGAGCCCAGTCTCCTTTCCCCAGCAGCAGGACTCTGTATTGGGAGCAGAGACAGTCGGTCTCCCTCCCCGCGGCTGGAAGTATGTATGGGAGAGGAGCTTGTTACCCCCTCTCCCCAGCGGCAGCTTAATGTACCAGGGGGAGACAGTATTTTATTTTATTTAGTTTGTAAAATGCTTCCAAAATTAAACAGAATAACAAAATAAATAACAAAATAACAATAATAAACAATCAACTGAAATAATGTCCAATTCAAACATAATACCAAATGAAACATAAATACCCCAAAATTAAACATAAATACCGAAATAAAAACTCAGGAAGGGGCACTAATAGGGGAGTAAACTTATACCAAATTAAATAACTGGGAATAACAGGGAGAGGGATTAACAGAAAAGGGGGGGGAACTAAATCATAAGGGGATAAATTAAAAGGCGGGGGGCTCCATTACTTCATGGAGCCTTGGGGAGGGAGAAAAAAGGCTGAAATGCTCCTGAAGGAGCTCTTACATAACAAGGGGGGACCCAATTGACCTCGAGTCCACAGCCAGCTAAACACAAACATAAACCAAGCGTGAAATAAAACACACACATAAACATAAACAAACCCATTACCCACATGGAGTCCTTTTCTCAGTTCATAAAACCCATCAACCACATGGAGTCCATCCCTCCGTCCATCAACACCAACCCACCACCTACACTTTAAACCCAAACCCACCACCCAAATGGAGTCCATTTTCAATTCATAAAACCCACCACCCTCATGGAGACTATCCCTCCGTCCATCCCCCAAACCCACCACCCAAATGGAGTCCTTTTCTCAGTTCATCACATCCAAACCCACCACCCACATGAAATCAAAATTTTGTCCATAGATCCACCACCCACATGAAATCCAGTTTGTACACCACCCTCAAGGAGTCCATCCCTCCGTCCATAAAGAAACCCAGTGTTTTTTTTTTTTTTTTTCACCCAAAGTAAATTTTTCAATTTGTCCATACGCCCACTCCGCATAAGTCCAGCGGGATAAGCAGGGGATGCCTAAGGCGGCTGAGACCTCTTTGTAGACCTGTACGTTAAAGGGGCACTCGAGGAGGAAGTGGTCCATGGACTCCACTTCCCCGGAACATTCCACCCGAGGACAACCGCGATCCGTTATGTTCCTGTACTTCAAGTTCCCTCAAACGTAAAGTCTACCGTGGAAGGAGAGAAACGCCACGTCTCGGTATTTCTCCGGAAGGCGCCTGGAGTTGATGTTTTTCAACCCCGAGGCGAGAGTACTTGGCGGGCAGTCCTTCAAAGCAAGCTGAATGCCAAAGTGGGTGGCCAGGACCCTCCCGTCGAGAAGCTTCTTGGGAGTGTCCCGAACCTCCTCCACCGTGACGTTCCACCTGCGCAGAATTCCCACTCCCTCGATGACCGAAGACGGAAGATAGCTAGAATGCCGAACTCTCATGCTCTTCACCCTCCCACCCTGAAACCAGTCCACCAGGAAAGGTGTGACCCACTCCCTGAATATACATACCCAGCCAGGCTGCTCATCCTTCAGGAGAGCCCCAAAGTTCCTTTTCAGGAAGTTGTTAGTTAAAAAGACGATGGGGTTGACCATGGCCAGACCCCCGTCCTTTCTGGCCAGGTAAGTGACCTCTCTTTTGATGAGGTTCAGCCTGTTCCCCCACAACATGCGGAAGAACAGCGCAAACATCCGAGCGTGGAGGGACCTGGGCAAAAGGAAGATGTTACTGACGTAGCCGAATACGGTCAGAACATAGGTTTTGATTAGGTTCACCCGTTCTCTGAACGTCAGTTTCCACCTGTGGCTCTCCTCCACCTTGCTAGAAGCTATGGCAAGCCATTCGGTCCAGTTCCTGAGAGCCAGATCCCCTGGTCCGAACACCACCCCCAAGATCTTAATTTCAGGCTGGGCCCTCGGGAAACCATCTGGAAGAGGGAACTGGTCCCCCTCCTTCCCGCACCAGAAAACTAAGCTCTTGTCCCTGTTGACACGAGAGGCTGAAGCGGCAGAATACGCTAGGATTAAATCATCCACCTCCGTGGCCTCCCGAGTATTGGAGACCACAATGGAGATGTCATCAGCGTAGGCAACAACCCGTAAAGGCCTCTCCGGAGCCCTGGCCACTCCCTGTAACGTGCCTGCCTCGACCCTTCGGATGAAGGGATCGACTGCAAACACGTACAAGAGTGGGCTGAGAGGACAGCCTTGCCTGACCCCGGATCGGATCCTAAACGTCCTGCCCCTCCACCCGTTCACAAGAGCGAAGCTTTCGGCCCCTCTGTACAAGGTGATTATCCAATTGACGAATTTTCCCGGCAAGCCATACTTCCGCAAGACTGACCACAGATAACGGTGATCTACTCGATCAAAAGCTTTGGACTGATCAAGTGCCAGAAGGTATATCCCCCTTTCTCCGTCCCTGCACTTCTCGAGGGCTTCCCTGACTTCGAAAACGGCATCAAAGACAGTTCTGCCCTCGATTGAACAGTACTGGGAGGTGGATAGGACACGCCTCGCTAGGCCCTGTACTCGTTTCATCAAAATCTTTGCCAGGACCTTCCTGTCGACATTTAACAGGGATATGGGGCGCCAGTTCCCCACATCCGCTGTGTCGAGCACGTTCGGCTTGGACAGCAAGATCAGGGCAGAAGTCCTCATCGAGGGTGGCAATAATCCTTGAGCCAAGCTCTCATTAAACACCTCGGTCAGATGAGGGGCCAAGAGGTCGCAGAACTGTTGGTAAAACTCGTCCGTCAGACCATCAGGACCTGGCGACTTACACTTGTTCTGCTGTTGGATACTCTCTGTGACCTCTTCTATGGTGATCTCGCTGACCAACTCGTCAAAAGAGAGGTCGCTATGCTCAGGGAGCGTGAGCTCGCTCAAGAAGTCATCCACCCTTCTCCCGTGGGAGGTTCCCTCCTCGCTACATTGGGGGCTGCCCTTTCCGAGGAGCTCAATATAGTGTAGGGACGGTCGGTTCTGCCCCCCAGCAACAGGGCTGTTTAGCCAAAGGGGAGACAGTCTGTCTCCAGCAGCAGGGCTGTTTAGCCAAAGGGGAGACAGTTGGTCTCCAGCAGCAGAGCTGTGTGTCCAAAGGGGAGACAGTCGGTCTCCAGCAGCAGGGCTGTGTGTCCAAAGGGGAGACAGTCGGTCTCCAGCAGCAGGGCTGTATATCTAAAGGGGAGACAGTCGGTCTCCCCCTCCAACAACCAGGCTTCAACCAGGCTACCCCTCCAGTAGCGCTGGCAACAGGGCAGAGTACCGCTGGTCTCTGCCCACTCAGCAACCCACCAAGTCAGCATACCCGTACCCAGCACAGCCGTGGTGAGACACCTGGACATGGACAAGCTTCTCCTCTACCCAGGTGTAGTAACCATTTATTGTGGGTGGGCTGTGCTGTTGATTGTGTTTTGTGGGTGGGCTGCTGGACTAACAAGGGCACTGACCGGCAGGAGGTCAGATACCCTGTTAGTCTGTTTGGAAAAGGGAGAGATGTGACGAGAGCAATCTCGCCACATTGCATTGGAGAAGCCTGGTTGCTCGCCTGTTGCCTTTGGATTATGGCCCCATGTTAAAAGGCTTGATTTTCCCCTGCAAAGACAAGAAAGCCGGGTCATTTGGTGCTTGCCCTGTTTGAGCAGTGATACCCCAGATAGCTATGCCATGGAGCCCATTCGTATAATGAAAGACTATGGGAAAGACTTTGGGTCCATGGCAATTGAACTGTATGTGTGTGCTCGGAGCGCCATTCAGTAATAATGTGCGCTCAGATCTGAGCTATCTGGGCATATGTTGCATGTCTGTATTTTATGTCATAAATGTAACCTTGTGTATTTTATTGTATTTTACTGTCTTTTTGCTGCCATGTGTTCAATGGAGTTTTGCCTCTGTCTTTGGAGATAATTGGATTACTTCTAATTATCTCCAGGATAGAAGACTCTGTGGAACTGGTTTTGGGCAGAAAAGCCATGCTTCCTGTGGTCACAAAGGACTACGATCTATCTTTTGAACCACTGGACCAATTTGTATGATTTTGACGTATGTTTGTATTTGGAGTATGCTGATTCTGAAAATGTAAGTTATATGTGAATGTGATGCATACTTTTCAAGTTATGAATAATGTGGAAAAATTGTATTTCTGTGCTTGTGCTAAATTACATTACCCATTGTGTAAGGTAATTGAATCACATGCAGAGGGGAGGAATTTGTGTGGGAGTGTCTGAATGTATTGTATGTGTTTATTGGTTGTGTTCCAAAACCCTGTGGGTGGTACTAATGTGTAAGAATGTGTACATAAGCACAATAAACCCACAGCTCCTCTGTCTGTTCACTGCTTGACCCTCAACACGGAGCTTTGTCTCGTTCTTGGGGGGATTTACTGTATGCTGTTAGAGACTGATTACCAGGAGTGTAAGCTGCTTGGGTGCTTTTCCTGTTCAGCTGCTAGCAGCTATTTGTGAGGTTCAAGTTCGGGAATTTGGAGTGCTACTTGGTATCCTGTTCGTGAGTTTGGTGTTCTGCAGTAGCTGTGCCTGCATCTCTGGAAAGGGGGCCGATCGCCTAAACAGTTTTTACCCCTTTTGTGCAAAATGGTCCATTACACTCCCCAATCCAGGTGTACCCTAGCAGTGGGTAAATGGGAAAACAGCTCCTCCAGCAACTCGTACAGCCACAGTTTGGTTGGACAAATGTTCAGGTTTTACCAGATGTCTCTGCATTAAAGTAATGGTTGCCCCAGTGTCTCTCAATCCTTGCGCCACCTGCCCATTCACCCGCACTTCTTGTCGATGGTGTTGTCGATTATCTGGTGAGGCGGCTTCTTTCGGGTCTGCCTCATACAAGATACCCAGGCATTCCTCGGGGCCCACCTCGGTCTCCAGGCAATGGGCGGCCGAGGTACGTGGGGACGAACTAGGAGGGCGGGGTGATGCGGTCTCTGTGGGTGGTGAGGGTCGTCGCCAGTTGTTGGCTGCGGACCCCAGGGGGCAGTGGCGGGCAATGTGTCCCAGGTTGTTGCAGCGATGGCACGCCATCCGAGATACATCTCTTGGGTAGCCCTGTGGGCGAGGGGGCCCAGGCGGTACGGGAGCACGGAACTCCGGACGAAAATTACTGGCTGTGGTACGTGGTTCTGGCCTGCTGGTTGTGCGGTGAGATCTCTGACTAACTCTCCTTGTTTCGGCATACTCGTCTGCTAGCCGAGCCGCCTCCTTCAGGTTGCTGGGTCGTCGATCCCTTACCCAGTCCTGTAGATCAGCCGCTAAATCCTGGAAGAAGTGTTCCATTAGAAATAGTTGTAGGACTTCCTCCCCTGTACTGGCATTACATCCTTTAACCCAGTGAGAGGTTACTCGCTGTAGACGGTTGGCCCATTCCATGTGAGAGTCCACGGCTTTCTTTTTAGACTCACGGAACCGTTGGCGGTATGCCTCTGGCGTCACCGCATAACGGGCTAACAGGGCCTTTTTGACCTGCTGGTACTGTAAAATATCCTCTGCGATGAGGGCCCGAAAGGCCTCGTTAGCTTTGCCTGACAGCTTCCCAGCTAAAATGGTAACCCATTGGTCAGGGGGTACCTGGTGTAAAGAGCACTGTCTCTCAAAATCGGTTAAATATCCATCGATCTCCTCTTCATTCTCTACAAACGCCTTGAATGCAGTAAATGGCACCTTCCTTGGGGTAGTAGGCGGAGGGGAAGCAGGAACTGTATGTGTAATGGCTGCTGGGCTCTTACCAGTTCGATTTCATGCCCCCTCCTCTCCCGGATATCTGCTTTGGCATAGAGGAACAGCCGCTCAATCAGCTCCACTGATGTCTCTGGATAGAAGGCCAGTCTCCTCTGTACGATGCGGGCGACCTCGTCCTTCTCGCTGTCTTGCCTCTGTGTCACTGTTACGTCCATGGACCGATCCATCTCGTCCAGCTCTAGTAGGTCTGCGATCAGCTCCCTCCGTGGTCTGTTACTGGCAATCCTTCCCCGGTTCTCCTGTAGATCCTTTAGGGTAGGCCTCTTCAATTGAGACTCCATCCAGCATCTACGCTGTGGATGAAAGGACCATCCCACCGCTGCCACCAATGTAACGGCTACCCTAGTGTAGAGAGGGTACCAGCCGTTAGGGACGTCCTTTTCTTCCCGGCAGTCGCTGTGTAGTGATGGAGTCACCTATTCCCTTCTGCTGGATCAGGAGTTGAAGCCAGGTGTAGCTCTGAAAAGAGCTAAGTGATTAAGCTGCAGAGATTCCCCTTTCAAGAACGAGACGAGGCTACGTTTTGAAGGGTCAAGAAGAACTGAGGGTTTATTGACAGACACTCTGCTTTTATGCGATTCTGCCCATGCAAGACACCCACATAATTAGCAGTACAACCAATCCATACAATATACATTCGGTAAATTCCCTCCCCTCAGATAACTACATAACATAATTAAAAAGGAACAGTTTTTCCCCAAAGTTTGGATGTACCCAGATAGCTTACATTTCAGGTACCAACATATGTAACAATCGGCTCAATCAGTTCAGCCGTTCGGGAGATATAGGACTTAGAAGTTGACCGACCGCATAGGCACAGTAGCCGAAAACAGTTCCATGAATGCTGGCCCTGCAGTCGGTCTAAGAACGTGGGTAAAAGCTCCCGAACGGCCGGCCATCCGTATACCATCCTGGCTTTCCTCATCGCTGTGTCCCTTTCTGTGTTCCCTGACCTCGGCTAGTATTTTTGACTAATCTATGTACGTTAAATCCGGCCATTCTAAGGACCGGTAATACGTTACTTATTTGTCATCCGTGCTGTACAGTTCTACGTGCTGGATCAAACAGTAATCCTGACATTACGACATGGCCATAGATCCTGTAGAACTGTGTCAGCACATAGCTGCTTGTTAGAGGAAATTAGAGGAGAATGTGTCAGCACATAGCTGCTTGCGAGAGGAAATTAGAGGAGAATGATCACCGCATGGATCAATTCACTCAGGCTTTAAGTACGCTTCTCGCTAGAACGGAGCATCTGCAGCCTGCAGCGTCTCCTCCTATAGCACCTCTACCCCTGTGTACCTCCACCCACTGTTAATATGACTCCTAGCATCTCCTTATCACCATCCCTACAGTTTGATGGCAATATCCAGGAATGCAGGGGTTTTCTTAATCAGGTGGAGTACCATTTTGAGGCCTCACCAGGGTCATTCCCCACGGACAGAGCAAGAATTGGCTATCTAATGAATCAATTAAAGGGCAAGGCCCTTGCCTGGGCTAATCCGTTGTGGGAGAGTAATCGGAGCATAGCTCATAATTACCAGGAATTCCTTGCCGAATTCAAGCTCACATTTGAGCCATTGGGTAGAGAGGATGATGCCTCCACTGCCCTAATGCACATCAGACAAGGTAACCGGTCTATCTCGGATTATGCTATTGAATTCCGTACCTTAGCTTCCGAGGTAGACTGGACTAACAATGGGTTAATCTCAGCATTCAAAAAAGGGTCTCTCAGAGACTATACTAGATGAGATAGCCGCTAAAGAATTACCTAAGAGTCTTAACGAATTTATTACGTTTGTCATGCATATTGATAATAGGTTAAGACTCAGAGAAGTCACCAGAAGCAAGACCAGACGCACGGCTATGTCCCTAGCACCTCAATTCTCTAAACCTGTTTTGTCTAACCTCCCTGTACAGTCCGAACCCGAACCTATGCAGTTGGGGGTCACTAGACTGTCAGAGGTCGAAAAACAGTATAGGAGAAGGGAGGGGTTATGCCTATATTGCGGTAGAAAGGGACATACGATAACTAATTGTCCAGTGCGTCCGGAAAACTTCCGCACCTAAGAACCTTAAGGGGACAGATCTTAGGTGTGATGGAGTT